AGCCCCCTCTTTGCTGAGCTTTTTCTCAGCCCCATCAGAGCCCCATCTCCAGGTGTTCCATCTCTGTGCCTGTTGCTGCTCCTTCTCACTCTCAGCTTCTCCCTCTCCCCAGCCCTGGCTGTGATAAACTTCCACTTTTAAACCTCAACACTCAAACCCCTTTGAGACAACACAGAGATGATGGGTCCTGCTGTGTTTGTTTGCTTCGCAGCCTTTCAGAGGCAGCTCCAAGTCCAATGAAGATCCAGAATAAATCCCACTGAACAGGAACACTTTCATAAATAACCTAAGCTATATAACTTGCAAGTCCTCATGTATTTCTTCATCTCCACAGCTAAAAACATGTGTTTTGTGTTGCTTCGCATAAATCTCTCAGTATTTATCCTCACAAACTCTTCTATAAATTGCTCACTAGGCTTCAAAACACAGCAAGCAGGCTCTTTGATGCGTGTCTCAAACACCAGGTGAATCAATCACTGCTGTGTACACCTTGTTTGCTCCCACGCAGGGAGAAGTTACCGGTCCCCTTTGCCAGAAAAAAGGGCAAGAAGTCAAATGGTTTTGATGAATGGATAAACATCTGTGGGCAGACCCTCCTGCACAGAGCTTGTTTGTACTGCGACTTAGCAGTACTCCCTCCTCCTGATAGCTGATAAAATACTCCATCTCTCCTTATGAAATACACTCCAGACCAAGAGACTGCACATGAATATTTGATCTTTTTGTAAACTTCTTTTAAACTATTGCACTTCCCCCATGGTGACAATTCTTCTCTTACAGGAATAAGCAGAGCACCATTCTTGTCCTGTGGTGCCAAACGGGTGTACCAGCCCTGTTACAGACCCACTATGCAGGGGTGGATTTCACTCAGCACCATTGCAGCACAGCTTGTAGCATTTACCCTATGAGCAATTCCTGTTAATTCAGGTTACAGCTTAGGTGAATAACCTTCCTGATTGAGAGCCACCATTGGATTTCTCAAGGGATGTGCAGGCAGGAGGGATGCATCATCCTGGGCTGAGCTGTGCGGACCTGCATCGAAGCTCCCTGCCCCTGCTTCCCCATGCAGAATGGAGATGAGTCAGTGCAATAGGAAAACTAGGAGCCTCCTTTGTATTGACACAGTGCTCCCGTTGGCAATGTCATCAGCTCAGCACTGAGAACCAGGTTGCACACCCTGCACACTGTAGGATGGCCGCCACTGATCCCAGTGTGACAGCTCATCTTAGCAATGATTTGTAGGGGAGGACAAGGGGATGGGGAAGTTGGAAGACGGGAACTGCAGCCTGAGGCAGCTTGGCCAGTGGTGTTACAAGCCCAGTGGTGGGGAAGGAGCTGGCTGGTTCGGGGAACTCCAGTCTTTGTTCAGGAGTCTCAAGAGCAGCTGAGCTGCTGATCCAGAAACAATACACGTGATTGATTTCATCCCTTCTTCTGCTATACAGCAACAGGCTCCAGAGTCTGCTCTGGACTACATGGGTAGTCTTTCTGCCCCTGCACCACTCCTGTGCAGTTACATGTTGTATCCCCTGGGCTCTGAGTTTCTTTTGACCTGTGATGTGGGGGCTGGACTGCTTTTGCTACAGTCCGCTGCTTTATGGTTCCTGCATGTGTGAGCTGCATGTATGGTTCACATCACCAAGTTAGATCTCCTGTCATCACCTGAGAGCCCAGGTCAGGCTCCAAGGCTTGAGTGCTTCCTGCAGGGAGCATCCCATTAGCATGGCATCCCTGGCAGGGCTCTACTGGACTGCAGTGTTTTCCAGCTCTCAACCCCACTCCTGCTTCAGCCCTCATACCATTCACTCTGCTGCCAGCAAATAAATGTCATGGGCAGCTGAGAAGCAGTGAAAACAGAGGCAATCATTGCCATGGGGTTTAGCAGCACCTTGACTCCAGTCTGATCTCTCCTGATGTCTTCTCTCCTTGCTGCATTCCTGCTTTAGCTCTGCTGTCATCCTATTGAAGAGCATGAGTTTAAATCATTCAATTAAAAGTAATACTACTAGTAACAGTGAACACAGGGGGAAGGGTTCCACTTGGGAATTTTCTTATCTCTGGGTTTTGAGTCTCTTTTTGCAACTTTATGAGCTGGGAATATGTTTTCATTGGGGCTTGCACAAGGGGTACAACATTAGTCCACTGCTGGGAAAGCCTCAGAGACAAGAGTCAGACTTGGCAGTCACACAGGGGAAGGGGCACTCATGCTGACATGTAGGGATATCTTGTTCTGATGAGAGCAGCTAACCTGGGCTTGGTGGGAGCCTTGAAGGTGTCACAGGACTAGCAGTCCCACCCCACCCTACATAAACTGTTATGGACTGGTGCTGGCCTCAGCTCTGGGATCTCCCAATCCTCCCAGTTTCCACAGGATCCATGTGGTGTCTGTCACACTCTTCTTACTCAGATAGTAAAACTTTATGGCATCTTTCATCATCGCCTTGCAGAGGGCTGGCTGCAGCCTGCAATTTGCATGGAGCAGCCAGGCTGGTGGTGGGGTCCTGCTGTCCCCTGCCGGTAGCCCCCATGGTTGTGACAACATCAGGGTGGCAGCAGGGCCTGGTGGACCACAGGCAGATCACCTTATCACACTAGACTAGGGCAATGCTTAGAGAAACCAAACAAAACCTTCTCTGATTCCCACCAGGGTTGAATATTTGAAGTTACAGCACTTAATGCTCTTTCACAGGGTGAGGTGTGTGCCACTAAGCGCAGACACGGCACAGTGGCCATGGTGGCCATACTATTACAATGTGACTAAAATGAAGTGCAAGAAGGAAAGAATGAAAGTGGGGACTAGCATTGCTATGAAACAGTAACATGGCATAAAATCCTCCTAGCTAAAACTATACATCACTGGAAGCAGCCAGTAAATGTGAATCCTGGCTGGCAGCCAGGGTGCAAATGGCATGGCTCTATGCACAGAAAGTAGCTTAATGTGCAGTGGAGAACACTGCTATCAAGGCTTCCAGAACAGGCTGTGCTGGCGCATAGTTTTTGCAGTGTTGGTTACAGGCTGTTAAACCCCTGTAGGTCATAAATTCTCATTCTTTTTTAACTGCATAAATTCACTCTGAAAGTCCTCACAGAAACACATAGAAAGGGCTTATAGCTTCACTGACGGTATCAGCTCCCCAGTTGAAAGGAGGCAGAATGAGAGGAGATCCCTCTACCAAGAAAGATAACATTTATATGACATTACTTCATAGAGCACTAGCCAAAAAGCTTCTAAATGGAAGGAAATACTGGTAGTGTTGGCACTGAGGATGCCTGTCCTGCTCACACCATACCTTCCCTCAGGCAGGGGACAGGGACTCTCAGCAAGTCAGGTGTAAGCCCACTCTGATGCTGGAAAATGGCTAGGAGAATGTGGGACGGAGATAGGAGGTTTAAATCATTAATGTATTAAGTTGCCTTTCCCAGATGGACTATGTTTCTCCATCACCACCCCCACCCACAAATTTACTTTTATTTTAAACCCTGGGGCTTGTTGCTGGCAAGAAAGGAAACCTTACTGTCAAGGGCACCCAGGTAAAGTCATTTAAATTCTGTTCGAGAATTCACTGCAATTGGATGTGAGCCCGAGGGTGACCAAGTGGTGCTTTACCGTGGTGCTGGTGTGGGGACCATGTTGTGAGGCAGGGGACAATGAGGGTGGGCACAGAGTCCCACTCTTTAGAGACAGGCACTGAAGACAACCCTCAGGACAGCAGCTTCTTCAAGGCTGGGCCAGTGGATCTCAGCAATCCTAAAATTCCTTCTGCTTTCCTTTGGCCTATGTACTTATTTTTCAGCTTTCATGCTTGTAAAGAAACACCTGAAATTCAACACATCAAGGTTAAAAAAAAAAAAAAAAAAAAAAAGATAACAAAGAAAAATGCATCCAGACAATTTGCAGACTTAGGGTTCTCCAGCCAGTGTGGTAATTTCTGGAGCCATTGGCCAGAGGAGTGCAGAGGCCATTCCTGCAGCATGCCAGTGGCAGTGGGCAGGGAGCAGGACACCATGGAATTTGCTCCCCTTGGGAGTTGTTCTGCTGGTGTGTACTGGTTTTTCCATCCCTCTTGAGAAAGAAGTGCAGGCTTACAGCTGAGCCACCAGCTGTGGAGATCCTAAATCCGTTTCTTCCAAAAATATGCTGTGGGGCTGGTAATAGAGAGGGAAACCCCTTGTGTGGGGTCCTTACTGAGCCCACACTCGCAGGAGGCACGGTGAAGGCAGGAGCCATGGTGATTTGCCCAGTGGATGAGATCACTGCCTGATGAGTCACAGCCCCGTGGGCACCAGTGTGTGCACAGGTCTCCTGTTGTTCTTTGGTTGTGCCCATCCAGGCAGTAGGTGGGGTCTGGTGACCCCCATGAGATGAGCTGTGTTCAGTGGGACAGGGGGTCACGAGTAGGTGCACACTGCCCTATCTCAGCCTTTATTGTAGTGAGAGCTGCCCCTCCTCAGAAGCACTGTGTCCCAGAGAGACAGGCCAAGGATCCTGATGCTGTCTGCCAAAGCCAACACAAATAGGCCAGAGTGCATACACATAGCCCTCCTCCTCTGACACCACTCCACATGCCAGTGGGACCCCAGTGCAAATGGCCAGCCCAGGAGCCCCACCATCTACCAGGAGATTGCTGCTCGCTTGCCAAAAGCAAGCATCATCCTCCTCACAAATGGTTAACCTGCAGGGAGCCGCACAGCACTAATGACTTCACATGCATTTAATCAGCTTGGGCTTACAGAGCTGCTGCCTTGGAGCAGGAAAGCCACGCGTGCACCCCAGTTGCAAGGCTGCAAATGCTCCCAAAGCCGCACCCCCCTTACCAATCATTAATCATCATCGGGAGGGCGGGTGAGGGGGAAAAGGCCAAGTGTCTGCAACCCTGAGGCAGTGCTGACCGGTTCCCTGCAGTGGCAGCTTGTTCTGCCCCTGTGGAGGTGGCCAGTCCTTTGGGAAGGTCACGAGGACCTGCACACAAGAGGCTCAGCCTGCAGCTGGAGGTCTGAAGACAGAGCCTCTGCTTAGCTGGCATCACCTCCATCATCTTCATCATGCGGCAGGAAGCATTCTGGAGTGCCTTGGAGTACACCTGCCGATTGCTGGGCATCACCACTGCAGCAGGTAGGAGCAAGCTCCCTTTCTTTGCTATTAAAAGAATAGGGGTGGGGGCTCTCGAGCTGTTTCTAAGCCTTTGGCCAGGTGTAGCCACTGTTCCCTGCTGCAAGGGGGGTAAGGGAATTTGCTCCATTTTGCTTTGAGACACATCAAAGGAAAGTGCTGGGTGCATGGACTGTTCGCAGAAGACAAGACAAAGTGCAGGTGGAAAAGACAGCCAAGTTGTTTTCTTGTAAAAATGCAGCGGAACAAGCATAATGTGAGTGGGACTGAAAAGCAAAATACTCAGGACAGCACAAAACTGTTGGGCTGCCATGGTGCTGCAACATCTCATTCACTCAGAGTTGGGCTGTGGTGGTCATCCTTGCCCCACAGCACGTCTCTGGGTGGGATAAGTAGCCAGGACAGGGGCAGTGAGCTCAGGGGTTCACTCTGGTACTGCTGCTGACTCTCTCTCATGGGGCAGGGCAGGCAGAATTCTGCCTCAGTTTCTCCATCAGCAAAGCAGAGATCAAAAGGCTTAGCTTGCCTCATGGCTGGAGGTGTGAATAGAGGCTCCTGATGAGAGGTATCTCAGGTGCCTGTGTCAGACTCCAGGAATTTTGGATTTCAGACATCGCTCAGTAGGTCATAGCAGGCCCTCCCACTCTGGCGTTTCCTTTATCAAGTGCAGACACTTTGCTCAAGTCAGGGACGAAGCAGAAAGCACAAAGGTCAGCTGGAGAGCACACAGGTCCCCAAGGACACCCAGAGCCCTGCTGGGACAATGGAGGCTGTGCTCCACAGTGTACTTTAATAGACTGATAAAGTGCAGAGGTTCAAGTCATTGAGTTTGTACAAACTCTCAGCACATTATATTGAGGTTGCAGCAGACAGGAGCTGGCACACTGCTTTAACTAGTAAATACAAATCTGTCTGTTCCCATCCTCCTCAGGCCCACACTAGCCCATGCTGATCATATTCACTCTTAAAGCTCCAAATTCACACAGATATTCTTGGGTGAAAACACGGCCTTGTTGCAGGAAAACTAAAGCTAGAACAGTAAAACTGAACATAGCTTACAGTTTGGAAGAGTCTTAATGGAATATAATCTCTCTTGACTGTTTGCTATTCTCCACACTCTGCATCATCCATACCCCTTCCCATAGCTCTTTTTGAAACTAGAAGTGCAGTCCCCTCAGCTGAGCAGCTGCAGAGTACAGACAGCTACACTGCCAGTCTCTGTACTTTTCCATATCTCTGCTCTGATGCCTTCCCACTATCAACTGGTTTTCCCAAAAGGACAGTGAAGGAATGGGAGGTGCCCATGCTTTATTCTTTTGTGTGTCTCAATGGGGTAAGAAAACAGCTTGATGCAGCGCTTAGTGCCTGATGAGGTGTATGAGGTTTTCACATGAAATGGAAACCACGCAGAAAGGAATCCCACAGGCTTTGGTTGAATAAGAATAATGAAAGGGAGAGGAGAGTGCATCAGCCTCACTAATTGATCCTGAGAAGGTCTGGCCAACTCCATAGATTTGCAAACACAAAAGATTGCCCACAAAATGTAACCCCTTCTTCCCCCAGGACCTTGGTGTGCAATGGGGCTTCTTGTGCAGGAAATATCCTGTTGTCCATGGCTCATCAGTGAGGAGCAATCAAATCATCCCACAGATGACCTCTGTATTGGGGGTATCTCCATAAATCAGAGATTTTAGGCCTCGTGATTTCTGCATCCAGAGAGTCTTTACTTTTTTCTTAATTCTCATGCTTTCAACCATTTAATTCCTAATCATGTGCCTTTAACCACATGATTTGGAGAAGATCCAAATCAAGGCAGCAACAAGCCCAAACAAACACTTCAGAAACAACCCTGTGCTTTTTGCAGTTACTTCACCCAAACAGCTTTGCAGATAAAGCAGAAGCTGTGCAAAATCAGAAAAATTCCCCAGGCAAAGCAGAGACTAGTGCTGTTGAATTCTGCATTTGTCTGTGGGGAGCGACTGAATGGATGAATTCTGCATTTGTATAGAAAAGTGTTAAGAAGGTTGCTTTATCACAGGATAACGAAGGACAATTTCTTGTGTGTAGGACTGCACAGCTTGGTCCCTTCACAGCCCTCTGATGAAGTGATATCCCCTGTCTTTGCTTGGGTGTGGAGAGACAGGATGTGGGCCCCATGTGTTCCCCTGGAACCAGGAAGGGCCAGTACAGGAGATCATTAGCTGCAGGTGACACAGCAAGAACCAACAAGACCACAGCATCCAGATGGGACTTGGCTTGGCTGGATCATCACAGTATGCTCAGGCGCAGACCCACCGTACTGGCCCACCTCATGGGCATGGTGGGCTAGAGCTTGGCTCCCTGCTTGTGAGCCTGGTACCCTACTTCTGGGTGGGCACAGTCACAGCTCAGGTAATGTAATCCGAAATCTGGAGAAAAACTCTCTAACTCCAGTGTGGTGTTAGAGTACCCACAGCCAACTGGCACCTCAGGTCTTGTCCAGTGTGCACTGAACAAGCTCTCTGCCGCTGGTGCAAAGCACTTTGTTTCTGTGCTATTTTGGAAACACCCTTGAGGGATGTTGAAGGAAAGTTTGCATGCCATAAAGCTATTGGCTCCCAACGACCAGTTCTGGAAGGACTTTAGCCTTGCTAATACTCTTAATCCCCCTTAAACTGACTCCCCAGTGTGCTGTGCTGGCTTGTGTTCTGGGGGGGATGTTCATTCCTTGTTTTTAATCTGCCTGCTCCTCTTACAGGTTTTTCTGTTTGGCTAGCAAAGAATTTTAATTCCTTGGCTACAGCCCTACCTGAATACAACTGGCACAGTTCCCCTATCCTGCCAATGCCCTACAGCCACATGTGGGGTGCAGCAGAGCTGGTGGGCATGGAGAGGATCAGAGCAGAGAGGCCTCAGCAGAGGCTCATAGATGCGTGGGATGAGGGGCAGGAGCAGATGGGTAAGTGGGATTGAAGTCTCTACAGCAGTAGAGGGTGGGAAAGACATGGGACAGACACCTCTGCTTATCTCTGTCCAAAGCTATTCTCAGAGCACATCTTCCCAGGCCATGCAGCAGCAAGGGTGCCTGTTGGTATATTGCTGTGCTTGGTTCCTGAGCTGTACATCAAGGCCAGCACTCAGCTCTGATTCCAGGGTTCCTGTATCAGCTTGAGTCACGAAAGATGCAGAGCAGAAGCAGCTGCACCAACATCCACAGACACCAGGGCATGGATACTGGGAGCTGATGGAACACCAGGGAATCACAAACTGAGCCAGCAGTCAACATCTTTGCTGCCTTCCCTTTCTAGTGCTGATCGGCGTGGGTGTAGAAACTCTACAGCGAGGGCAGTTCAAAAGCCTGGCTTTCTACCTGCTGTGAGTATTTTTACCCTTGCACTCAGAGCTAGTAGAGGTGGCACAGTTGATTCCTCCACCAAGTATAGCACCAAACTAGCCTTCAGCAGCAGCAGGGAACAGCATCAAAGGCTTTGGGGAATTTAGAACTCCCTTATTAGGCTTCCAATGAGTAAGTTGATCCTGTTAGTGAGGATGACCCTCTCCTCATGCTAATGTAGATTCAGGTAGGCCAGAAGTGACTGGCTGCAAGTTAGCCCTCCATGGGTGGAAGGTCTTGGGCTCTCCTCTATAAACCAGCCAGGTAGAGAGTGTTCAGACCCTAGAAAACAGTCTTTGTTGTGATTGGGACAGTAAATTCCAGCTCTCCACACCCCTTCTTCCATTTGCAGAGCATGCTTCAGCCCAGCCCTGCCTTCCTGACAACTCCATCTTTCAGTTTTTCAGGGGTTGCAGTTACTGTCTGTGAAGGCTGCTTCTTTCTCAGTTTATTCCTGGAGATGTGCTTCACGTGAGTAGATCCTGTCCAGTCTTTCCAACCCTTGTGGGACTTGCCAAGGGCAACCTGTCGCTTCCAGGCAATATCAGACCTGTCAAAGCTGCAACTGCCACACCAAAGGTCCTGCCCCTAATGCCATGGCAGTAGTGCAGCAGGGAGATAAGTGAAGTTATGTCCACAATTAATCAAACACATGTTTTAACCCAAGTTTGTGCCATAATCTAAGCGTCAGTATGACAAATCCTACTCTGCAGCACCTTCTTAGCACATTGTACGAAGTCATACAAGAGTCCAGCAGAAGTTTGAGTTAAAATGTAGAAAATCCTTACACACTTCTCATGACTTTCAGCATAAGTTCAAAATCTCCAATTGCTATGAGGCAACACCTTAATCCAACTAGTAGCTATAAGCATGCCAAGAAGAGGACACATATGATGCTGATTTGTTACCTCTGCCCACCATACTCAGGACTCAGACTTCATTTAGCTTCTCTAACCAAAACACCAGTTTTTCTTAGCAAACTAGACTGAGAGTCTGAACCTTTAGATAGGTCATGGTTAGGTCCAAATCCCCTCACCATGCATTTCTACATGTAGAAGTGTACAAGGACTTCTGTTTCTCTCTCCAGATATGAGCCCGACTCTTTGGCACATTCCTGCTGGAAGCAAGCCAGACGCCCAGGAAGTTTCCAGAAATTTCTGGGGTACACTCTGCTCTCAGTGGCTTGCTTCTTGCATCCCGTCATCGTCTGGCATGTCACCATACCTGGTGAGGAGCCTGTGCTGGGGTGGGGAGTGGTGCAAATGAAAGACGAATATGGTCTGTTGGGGACAATGGACAGGTAGACCCACAGATGGTGAGGATGTGTGCAGTGCTGAGTTAACTGGACCAAACACTTATTGGCTAGCACTTCACCTTGAGCCAACCCTCAATCAATATATCCTTCTCTCCAGGGTCCATGCTGGTGCTCACTGCCTTGGCCTACTTTCTGCTGAGCAAGAGGAGAAAGATCCCAGGGCACAAAGAGGTGCATCCTGAGGCAGGCCAGTACGTGGATCCTTCAGCCACCATGGCAGCCCCAACCATTGCCGGTGACACTGAGCAGACCTACACCTTCCACGAGGCCCAGAGGGAGCAGCATTGCTCACTGCTGGGCCACATGAAGAGCATCCTGAAGGGCAGCAAGGACAGAAGTCTGACCCATGCAGCTACAATCCAACCAGAGGTCCCACCAGCCCCACGCAAGCAAGTGCACTTCCAGGAGAAGGTGGTGCAAATCATCCCTTCTGTCAGCGAAAGCCTGGATGATGTGGAAAGTGAGACTGAAGAAACCACATCAGATACAGCACCCATCCTCACCCCTCCTGATACCCCTGTCGTCCTCACTCCCCTCAGTCCCACAGGACTGTTTTGAGGATTTACCAGCAACAAGGACAAGGCAGGCACACTTGTACTGGTGTTTCTCTCTGTGATTCAGGCAACTGATAGACCTTGTGCCGCGGGCAGCGCTGCCACAATGACTAGAGTGTCACAGCCTCCTCTGCGCTTGCTATGATCCTGGCAGGTCAGCAGGAAATCCCACAGGCCAACTCTACAGCTAGCAAGGAGAATGAGGGATGGACTGTGTGTCACCCATGCCCCAGTGTGGAGGAGTGGCCCTCCTGGCCCTCCCTACCCTGGCTGTTTCACCTGTTATGCAGGGACTGCATGTTCAAATCAGACCTGCAGCTGTTGACAGGGTTTGTGGTGGTCTGCAGCCCTACAACACCATGCCCAGGGGACAGGCCATGGATTGACCAGCCCATTGGAAAGACAGTAAGGTTTCTCCTCCTGGGGAATCTCTCTCTATGGCTTCATTCATCATCTATTACAGAATGGCACGCCGCAGCAGCAGCTTCTGCCTAACATCACAGCCATGGCATTTGCTTCCTATGAGGCAGCAAGAGGGCTACCATCATCCACTGAGCAGCCTCAGCTGGGAACAGTTGTCTTCTGACTGTTCTCGTTGTGCCTGGAAGAGCTCATGGAAGCTTGGAGTTATCAAACACTCTTCTGGAGCTAGCTCTTGCTAAGTGTTCTCCTTTGAGACATGCTCTGGGCCCAGCAGGGATGTCACGTCACTGTGGGAGCAGGGAGGACCCTAGGGAGCCCTCTGGAGTTAGAAGAGCTTTGGAATGCTGTAGCACCTCAAGTTCCAAGGTTCAGCACTGCACTAGTTGGCTCAGCAGGCTGTGTTAAATATGGCCCCCAGTGGGCAAAGGCAATAATAGTTACAATGCTGCCCCCATGGCCCTCTCCAAACCCTGAAGTCTTCACCTTTGCCTTAATCCTACTGTATCCTCTGCTCTTTGAGGACCATTTACCCATAATATAGCATTTCTTTCCTGCTCAATCCCTCAGGCAGGATTTGTAACCTCTCTGAGGTTGTACCAGAGCAGTACAGGGCAGATAGCCCAAGACTCTTTTCTTTGCTCCTGGATCCACTAGCAAAGGGACCTACGACTCAGCCTGTGCCTGCAGATGCCATCAGCAAGACTCTCACATAAGCATCAGGCAACTCTCATGGAGTGCACATGGCTGCACATGGGAAGGAGTACTTTGCTCGGACACTGGACATGAGTGTTGGAGTGGGGATGGTGAAGGACAGAAAATCCTTGAGACCTGCTTAGGCTGATAATAACACAGAAGTCAGTGTGGACTTTTTTTTTTTTTTTTTTTTTGGAAATACGTTGTTTCATTTTAAACATTCATCTCTCTGAGACACAATTACCACAATCGCCGTTTAGGAAAGTGATGTATTTTGAAGGGAAGTGGGAAAATATGTTCAAAAATCAAAAGGCAAGTGATGAGAACTCAGTGCAACTTTTTAATAAATTCTGATTAATTTGCTCCTGTTATGGGAGATGGATGGGGAAGAAGGCAGAAGATATTGACTCACAGTGTTTGACTGCCTGTATTGGTTAGTGAAACTGTCCTCAGGAGGGGCTTATGGTTGGTCTCACACACTCAGTTGTTCCTACAACTAGAAATGAATAAAAAAAAGCTTCTTGTTCCGTCACTGATGTTTGAAATGATGACTGCTATCAATCTGCTCTATACACAATGCAGAGATTACAGACCTCTTTCTTCCAGTTGCCCAAATTAAACCTCCACTCCAAAATAGCATGCTGGAGAAGAGTCACATACATATCTGAGTTTAGGGAGAGTTAGTTTCCTCCTACACCTCCAAAACTGTATTCAGAAAATTGAAGCAATTTACAGACTAACAGCACACCACTGATACCCTGAATAAAGTCACAGCTCCACCCACAAGCTGGTGGTGGTTTATTCATCACATGAAGAAATGAATACGAAGCCATTTTCCTCTAAAGTAGATAATCAAACAGCATACTTGCACCGTGAAAGGCCCCAGCCCAGCCATGCTGAAAGGGTATCATCCCTGTCCACTTCTCCAAAAGGCTGTGCTCAGAGATGGCTCCTTGACTCAGTCACATATCTGCCCATTATACCCACTCTTAGTGGCATGCAACTTTCTGCAACATCCCAGGCTGCTCTCTGAATGTTGAATAACTAATTATATACATAGAGGTAAGAGTTATCAAAAAGACAGAGCTCTTCATAGATCAACTGATCTGCTGATGAAAGATCACATTTATGCCACTGCCTTTTTAGCTCTGAACAAAGCTCCAGGACAGCCTGGGTGCACACAGCCAACCTGCATCCAAATGTCACACATCTGCCCTTACACAGCAGACCCACACATTATACCCACCTGTCAGCGGAGATAGCTGGCAAGAGGAATACCAATGGAATAAGAGTTCTGGAGTGGGGAAAACAAAATTTCACCCCAAATTTTATTGTGCTGTGAAATGCATTTATGGAGTTCTTAATCATTAGCATCTGCAGAATCAGGTCTTTTTGTTTTCAGGCATGTCTCAATGTAGGATTCCTTTGGGAAATGGGACTGGGGAAAGCTGCCAGTAAGGTGGTTGCTCAGCCTTGTTGGGAATTCCCAGGGCAGAGTGCTCTTGCATATCCCTAGATGCTTTTCTTGCCTCTCCCTTCCGTTGGCCTGGCTTTTCTCCATCCCTACAGCTAGCTGCCCTAGAAGACGAAGGTTGGAAAAAATCTGCTCTTCACTCCTGTGTTAAATTGTTCATTCAGTTAAGGTCCATCTCTGACTCACCAGTAATTCTGGAGATAGATGCTCCTTCAACTAAGCTATAGCCCAAAACAGCCCTGAAGGACGCACTCACATCACACAGGCTGAGCTGCTGCTCCACATTACCCTCTTTGTGCATCCCCAGCTCTGCTCCCTACCGTCCATCCCATCCTAGTGCTATTTGCCAGCTCCATCAGCTGACAGAACTCATTAGCCCAGAGAAAAAAATAATTAGGAAAAAGAAAGCAGGTGGTTGTCTTCTAGGGGTAATGAGCCAAATAAATCCATGGAAGAATGGGACAGGCACAAAATGAAGGGTTGAGGGGAATAAGGGCACCCTTTTCAAAGGCAGCAGACTGTTAGAGCAGCTCAACTGTGCAAAGAAATATAGCCTCAGGAGTTCCTTAAAATCCCAGTGTAGAAGGAATGCTCACCCTCAGGGGGTGCTGGATGACCTTGCAGAGACTGCTTGCTGAAGTGTTCATTTCTCCTTTGGACCCTCTTTCTATATCTTGTTATGAGAGGCACCTCAGGGTCTACTGAAAGCACCAGAGGCAGTGGAGATTTGGAGGGTGAGGTATCATTATGGCAAATTCACAGAGGCAGGAAAAGAAAGAGTAAGAACTTGATGCAATCAACTGTGAAGTGCAGTGATACCTGAAGTTGAGCTGCCTGAACTGTCAGTCCACACAGCATCACATGAATCCTGGTATATTATTTTTGCATTTATTACTGCTAATTCATGATACAGCTAATCTACTAGGATTAGTCCACTGAGTTAGAGTTAATTGTATCAGCCTGTAAACTCCTACAGTGTCATATGCTGAAAGGAAAGCAGATGAATCACCCAAAAGTAGTATGTGTGCAAGATCAAACTCCATAAGGTAACCCTGACAGAAACAATTCCAAAGTTTCCTCTGAAGACATTCCTGCATGAGTTAAAGTCTGCCTGCTTTGCATGTATAAGTGCTCTGGAAACTCATCACGGTGCTATTTGACAGCAACACCTGCAGCAGTCAAGCCTGGTGCTGGGGTCAGTGGTATGAGCAGCTCCTGACTCAGGGCTGAGTCACATGAACATGCAGGAGAGAACCTGCCTCTATTCTCTTATGTGAATCAGGAAATAAGTGCTGTATGTTGACACACCTGCAACACTACCACTTCACAGCCCTACGCCTTATCCTATTACATTCACAAGCTTCACCTATGCCTGGGCCAGAAGTTCAGATCCTGTTTTGGACAGACTCCAAAGCACACACTTTGTGCTCTTCAGAGAGTTACAAGGACCAGAAACCAGGTGCCAGGTCTGCCTGGTGTTCCTCAGAACTGTCAACATCATCTTGGCATGGGGTGGGCAAGGGCAGGAATCTGGCTTCCAGCTGCCAAATGCCAACCTGCATACCACAGGTGCAACTTAGGTTATAGCCTAGTGAACGACTAATATACCTTTAGGAAACCAATTGTAGGCAGCTACTCACTCAGTATATGACTTTAATGAATCCTGTTTTGGTGTTGTATGTAAAATGCCAGGAATCTGATTTCCCAACTAGCTCTTTGGATTACACGTTAATATTCCAGAGAAAGGAGGCTATACAGCAGCCACACCTCTGAGAAGGCAATGCCATGAGTGAAGGTCTTTTGTAGCTAATCTGGAGATGTTTAAAGCCTTTGCAGACTCAGTCTGAAGATGTAGTCCCTCAGCACCAGAAACAGCATGACAGTGCCCAGGCCTGTGCATCTCTTCATAGCTGTTTTGTCTGCACATGTCTATAGTTCCTTGTGCAATACTCCCGAAAATTTTATATTACTCATAAGGTTGCTGTTACTGTCTGCCTTTGCTTTATAAATAGCATTTAATAACATAAACAGTACTTAAGTAGCACTTTCAACCATGGAAACATGAGCACAAAATGATAAAACATATTTTGTTCTGTGTCCTGTAGCCACGGTTGAGAATGTCTCAAGCCAACTAATTACAACATTGCTATTTCCTGAAACAGCAGCAGGGAACACGTATCTTTTAAAAAAGGTGCCATAACAGACCGTGTGATAGAAACTATCCAGCAAGGCAAAAGCAAATATACCACATGAATTTGTACTGCCAGAGAAATGCTATTGCAGCCACTGTGCAGTTTCTGCCATGAGAAGACCCCCTGCTTTCTTGTTACCTGCTTGTAGATGTCAGTGATAGCAGTGTACTACTGCAAGTTTGACTCCAGCTGCCATCCCAGAATTTTCCATGGTTTCCTCTCCTGTGTGACCAACACCTGCTAAATACAGTTACCTGGGGCTGTGTGGAGATACCATGTAAAGCATATTTTTTTTGTTACTCAGTATTATTAGCAAAAGTAATTATTATAGTTATTTCTCCAAAAGCATGAAGGCCTGAAAACAATTTAAAAATTTAAAGAAAAATCAGCTTATTCAATGTCTTATATATTTTTATATAAGACTGTAATTTCCATGTTTCTGGCATTCAAATGGGCCATTCAGATGGCTTACTTTACTCC